CTCCCTCCCCCACCCATAGTAAAAAAAATTGAGCCTAGGGACTTGCCCCAACTCCTACCCCCTTTCCCTTGGTTGTCCATTTAATACCCCACAGAATTTAACTGGTCATAATGGGTTTTTATATTTGAAAGTCTGCTTACCTTACTACACAATTTTACAATAAATTATAACATTAAATATCATTTTCTGTGATCTTGTGTCTTTAAGTGTGAAATTTTCCTCATTTTAGTTAATACACAATTGATCAAAAAGACAAAATTTATGAGAACATTTGTAAAATAATTTGGAATTGTACCTCAATGGCTTCAATACACCACACAAAGACACACACACACACAAACACTCAGAGAGAGAGAGACGAGAGAGAGACAGAGACAGAGACAGAGAGAGACAGAGAGGACACAGAGATGAGAGAGACAATGTTAAACTGTTCTAGAATGAGACAAAGTTTGGCATTAATGCTATTCCTGTGTTTTCCTCTTGGTCTGACCATTGCTGACACTGAGCAATTTTTCCACATAAGTAAATCCACAGGAATGGGAACAGTCTTGCTATGGTGATGCCAGTTAGTTATTTGCACCTCTTTAAGTTAAGATAAAATGCCCTAGACAGTATGGAGGTCTATCATTAATTTGTAATGTTTCATTAGTGGATACAACTGACTTCCTTCCTTTTTGTTGAAAACAAGATGGTGGAAACTGCTTGGCTTGCAGGAGATGGATTCATTAGGTAGCCATAAGAGCCTGTCTGTCATTATCTGGGATGTATACAAAAACCAATATCAAATGAATATAATATTACCCCTGAGTTGGAAAGCATTCTGCCTTACCTAATCAGTCTAAAATATTTGAGAAATTGAAATATTGTATTTTAATAGTTACTGTGAAACTGTCTAGAAAATGTGCTGGTTGGTTTCTGTTATCAATTTGATTCAACTAAGAGTACCTTAGGAAGAGGCACGCTGAACTGAAGAACCGCCTTGATCAGATTGGCTGGTGGGAGTATCTGTGGGAATCCTCTATGTGTCTATGCATGCATGGGGGCCAAGCCCACTTTGGGGCAACATCCCTAGGCAGGTGAGCCTTGTCTGTATAAGAAAGCCAGCAGAACAGAAGTCAGAGAGCAAGCCAGCAATCAAGGTGCCTCCACGGTCTCTGCTACAGCTCTTGCTTCCAGGTTCCTGACTTGAGTTACCTCAGTGATGGACTATTTTCTGGAGGAGGAAGTCAAATAACCTTTCCCTCCCCAAGTTACTGTTGCTCTTGGTGCTCACCAAACAACAGAAAGTAAGCTAGTTCAGAAAACTTTCTAACTGGAAAGATGTCCATTCCTAGAGGAAGAAAAATGGTACACTGATTCATATAATGCAATTATATATGTGTATAATATAAACATGTATATATACATATATTAGAGTTATAATGTATAGGTATCTTGTATTATCTAAACTCCTATTCCTTCTGATATTTTAAAAGGCAGTTTTAGATACTGTAATAATTTCATCACATAATACCAAAAAAGTGGGAAACTCATCCTTTATCATTATCAATTAAAAGCTCAGAACACACTTTGTATTACTAAATTTGCCCATATCTAGAATGAAACACCGAACAAATAGCAACTTAAGGAAGGAAGGGTTTACATTGCAGGGGAGGGGAGTGCTTCCTTGTAGGGGAAGGTATAACAATATTAACATACTGTAGCTGGTCACATTACATATGCATTCAGGAAACTGGAATTCAGCGGACTTCCCCAATTTCTCCTCATTTTATTCATTTGTTTTTATGGCCCATGGATTGGTGGTGTTCATGTTTAAGATGGAGGCTCCTCCTCTCTTGAACTCTAGAAACACCCTCATAGACATGACAGAGGCATGTCTTCTAGGCAATTCTAAGTGCAGTCAAGTGGACAATGAAAACTGACAGGCGTATACTTCATACAGTCAAACATTCAGGGCACACAATAACCCAACAGTCTCACATAAGTAGTGTATGACCTTTCCTCTAGGGATTTAGAGCTGTTTCTCTCTTTTAATGATGTCTAGATGTCATTGAGGATCACTGCCTGGGTCCTTCAGTGTCTTGGAATTACAAAATGATGTCACCTCAATTTTACCTAACGTCTGTGGGTGACAGACTTGGGATAGTCCTACAAAAAAGAAAGCTTCTGCCCTTGGGAGCTCTTTCAATACATATATCCCCAAATATGTTACTTTGACATCAGGATTATTTTAAGCTGAAGACACTAAACAAACAGGAAGTGCAAGAAGATCACTCTGATACTTGTTGCTTCTAAAGGCCCCAAATGAAATTCCCTTTTGTAAGAGTCTCCACCCACCTATTTCTTACCAGAAGGACAATGACATTCTTGTCATGAAAGTAGCTGAGACTGAGGGAAAACTATACAAACACTTACATTCCTGGTCACTTCTCTACCCAATTGTTTTCACTTGTCTTACCACATTTTCACAGATCACTACTTTCTATACAAGCCAGTGTATATATGTATTGATGCTAACTGCTTCTTTAAGTCTTCAGTTCCTCAGGAAGGTGCGCACTTGGTAAAACTTGAAATAACTACATTTGCATCATTTTCCTCTGCTGAGCTATCTTATTTCAGTTTAGTCCTTAAGTCCAGATGTATGTAATGGTGTGCTAGACTGGGCTCCCCAGCTCTTCACATGACAACAGACAACTTTATATATTTGTTGTTTTTTGAGTCATTCAGTTGAACGTCAAAAGTCCCCAGAGTCAATCACAGTCTCAACCCTGTGTAAAAGCCTAATGTTCCGGCTTGAGGGATGGCTCGGAGGTTAAGAACACTGACTGTTCTTCCAGAGGAGCTTAGTTCAATTCCCAGTAGCCACTTGGTGACTCACAATCATCTGCAATGAGATCTGGTGTCCTCTTCTGGCCTGCAGGCACACATGCAGACACATCACTGTATACATAATAAATAAGTAAATAGATAAATCTATTAAAAAAAGTCCAAAGCTCAAAGTATCTTATGAGTCTCCTGGCAAAGTCTGAACTGAAATCTCAGTGAAATCAAAATTAACACTCGGGAAGCAGAGGCAGGCGGGTCTCTGTGAGTCCGAGGCCAGGCTGGACTGACAGCCTCCAAAACAATACAGAGAAACCCTGTCTCGTAAAAAAAAATCAAAATTAAGGGGTAAAGCACATATTTCCAACCTACAGAGTGGCACAAGATACACATTACTGTTCCAAGAGACAGAAGAGTGAGCACAGTGAGGGAATACTGGACCAAAGCAAGACCAAACTCCAGCTGGGCAAACTCCAACCTGCATCTCCATGTGTGATATCAAAGCAGTCTTCAGATCCCCAACTCCTTTTAGCTCTGTTGACCGCTACACCCTTCTCTCTTGGGCTGAGTCCACAGAGTTTTAGCCCCTGTTTTTGAGAGGTGTCCCATGACTGTGTCATCCTTTCATACAATGGCCTCTCTGGGCCTTCATGCAGGGACATCCCTGACACAGCTGGCCTCAGCTGCTTTCCTTAGCCAGAGAGAGAGATTCCACAACCCATGGACCTGTATGTCTCTCTTAGGGTCCTCTTTGTTTCCTAGATTCTCTGGAGGTGTGGACTGCAGGCTGGTAGTCCTTTTCTCTGTGTTTAATCTCCATATAAGAGTGAGTACATGCCATGCTTGTCTTTCTGCCACTGGGTTACCTCATTCAGTATGGTTTCTTCCAGTTCCATCCATTTGTCTGGGAATTTCAAGATTTCATTATTTTTATTCCCCGCTAAGTAAACTCCATTGTGTAAATATAACACATTTTCTCTAACCATTCTTCAGTTGAGGGGCATCGAAGTTGCTTCCAGGTTTTCACTAGGGCAAACAATGCTGCTATGAACATATTTGAACAGATGTCCTTGTTATTTGATTTTATATCCTTTGGGTATATGCCCAAGACTGGAATTGCTGGATCTTGAGGTAGACTGATTCCCATTTTCCACAGAAACTGCCATGCTGATTTCCAAAGTGGCTGTACAAGTTTACACTCCCACCAGCAATGGATGAGTGCTCCCCTTCTCCACATCCTCTCCAGCACAAACTATCACTGGTGTTTTGGTAGGTGTAAGATGGTATCTCAGAGCTGTTTTGATTTGCACATCCCTGATAGCTAAGGATGTTGAACAATTTCTTAAGTGTATTTCAGCCATTTTAGAATCCTCTATTGAGAATTCTCTATTTAGTTCTGGACCCCAGATTTTCATTGGATTATTTGGTGTTTTGGTGACTAGCTTCTTGAGTTCTTTGCATATTTTGGAAATCAGCACTCTGTCAGATGTGGGTTTGGTGAAGATCTTTTCCCGTTCTGTTGGCTGCCATTTTCTCTTGCTTCACAGACCTTGAAGGAACAATACTCAACTTTATATGGAAAAAAAGAACCCAGGACAATCAAAACAACACTGTACATTAAAGGAACTCCCAGAGGCATCACCATCCCTGACTTCAAGTTCTACTAGAGAGCTATAGTAATGAAAACAGCTTAGTACTGGCACAAAAACAGAGAGGTCAACCAATGGAATCCAATTCAAAATGCTGATATTAACTCACACACCTGTGAACACATAATTTTTGAAGAAGAAGCTAAACTTACACAATGGAAAAAAGAAAGCTTCTTCAATAAATGGTGCTGGCATAACTGGATGTTTGCATGTAGATTGCAGATAGATCCATATCTACCACCATGCACAAAAGTTAAGTTCAAATGGATCAAAACCCAGCCACACTGAATCTCATAGAAGAAAAAGTGGGGCTGGGCAGTGGTGGCACATGCCTTTAATCCCAGCACTCAGGAGTTAGAGGCAGGCGGTTCTCTGTGAGTTCCAGACCAGCTTGGTCTGAAAGAGCTCGTTCCAGGACAGTCTCCAAAGCCAGAGAGAAACCATATATATAGATATATATAGATATATAGATATAGATATAGATATGGAGGTATCCTTGAACTAATTGGTACAGGAGATCACTTTCTGAACATAAGGCCAGTAGCACAGACACTGAGATCAACAATTAATAAATGGTACCTCCTGAAACTGAGAAGCTTCTGTAAGGCAAAGGACACAGTCAACAAGACAAAAGGGATCATGTCTTTTAAATAAACATCAATCTAAAGTAGACTAAGCCTGGAGTCACCACTGGAGGCAGCACCATGTTTCCCAGGGCCAGGGAGGGAGAGAGGACTTAGTGCTGAACAGATCCAACAGGACAGATCTGAGATGAGACCCTGTGGATCCCTCCTCTCTGCCATCCTACAACTCTGCTTAAATTCTAAATGACGGGAAAGAGGGAGAGAGCCTCCAGGGAGGGGCCTGGAAGGAGGCAGGAGCTCAGGAGACTGAAGTTCATGTTCTTAGGTCACAGTCTCCTGAGTGCAGGGGCCTAGAAGAGTCCTAATGCTAAAGAAGGAGAAACACATTTGAATGCTGTCACTGAGGAGGCACAAGGGATAAGGAGGCAGACTCCATTTACAGGAACAAGAACAGGCCCAGTGCTCCATAAAAAGTAAAAAGACAACAATAAACAGCAAATATGGGGTAAAGAGCTACAGCCAGGTTAGAGCCCAGGCTGGCCTGTCCCACCAGTCCTGGCTGCTCACACTCCTGGGACAGGACAGGACTCTGGCCATCCCTGTGTCCCTGTGATCACAGATCTCAGGATGTGCTTTCAAGTGATGAGGAGAACAGAGCCAGGAGGTGACAGAGCTGAGGACTGACCATGTCACAGCCAATGTCAAATTGAGCTGCACCTGGGCACAGCCCTGCTCTCACTCAGCTCCCACAGCCTCATCCTGTGACACCAGAGACACAGAACATGATGTGCACATTTCTGGGATGTTCTCCATGCTGCCATTCACTTCCTCCTCAAATTCTAAGTATCTCAATAATACATTTAACAGCTATCAGCCTGTCAGCTCAAGGATGTGAACAATCAAATTCAAATTGAGATCCTTAGTTTCAGTGCGGAACTTAGGACCTGAAGCTCAGAGCAGGAGGAGGTAACAGGATAATGTGTCCCTTCCTGCCTGCTGGAACAGGAGGGTTGGCCATGGAAGGGAACACAGGCAGTGCAGGGACAGAGTCCTGGTGTGCAGGGCTGGGCTGGGCTCCCAGTTCTTCATATTCAGCCCATAGGATCACAGGGAACATCAGACACTGTTGCTAAAAGTGAACCTAGGGGCCCTGGATGTCACAGGAGAGGCCTAAATACACTGTCTGTCACTCCATCCATTCCTGGCAGCTGTCTTCATACTACAAAGAAGAATCGTGAACAATCACTGTGAAGACAACATCCCAACAACCCACCACTCACTCACAGGCAATTCTGGGGGTCTCTGAATCCCAATCATGTCCACTTTGCCCCTCCCCAGTTTGGTCTCAGAGTGTCCTCTTCAGTCTGGGAGAGACACATCTGAGCTCTGGTAACTGTCACTGAATACACACACACACACACACACACACACACACACACACACACACTCTCTCTCTCTCTCTCTCTCTCTCTCTCAGGTAAAAAACATGGCCCCTAGGAGCTTTTGCTGGAGGAGCTAATATTGGTGACAGAGGTCTGCAAATACTCCAGGTCCACCCCAAGGGTCTCAGGGACAATCCTGCTTCCCACACTTACCTGGAGCCGGAACATAGTTCCCTCCTCTTCCACCTGTAAGAAGAAAAGCTGTGAGAGACCAGGGAGGAACCTGACCCTAGGAACTTTCAAGAAACAACCTCAGACCCAGGTTAGAGACAGGAACAATGAGGGTGTGGGTGTGTTTCCATGAGGCAGAGCACACTAAGAGAACTCACACCCTGCCCTTTCCTACCTGTGTTTCTCCTCCTCTTCCTCACAACAGCCACCACAGCTCCAATGATGGTCACAGCTCCAAGGAGAAACAGAACAGCAATGACTGCCAGGATGGGGACAGTGGCCTGAGGAGGCTCTGGCAAGGGAAGGACAGGAAGGGAAAATGAGGGTCATGACCCCAGCTCTCAGCCCTGACACTCTCAGGCTCTGCAGAAGGCTCCATCTTTCCCTGACCCCAGCTCTGCACCCACTCCCTCCTTACCCCATCTCAGGGTGAGGGGCTCAGGCAGTCCCTCATGGTGCACATGGCATGTGTATTTCTGCTCCTCCCCAGAAGGCACCACCAGAGATGCCCACTTCTGGAAGGTTCCATCCCCAGAAGGTCTGGTCTCCACCAGCTCCATGTCCTGAGTCTGTTCCTCCTCCTCCCTCTGCCAAGTCAGGGTGATGTCATCAGGGTAGAAGCCCACGGCCCAGCACCTCAGGGTGACATCACCTTTATGTCCAGGATGATGGGTCACATGTGCCATTGGGGGATCTGTGTGAAAGATTTAAGAAATCCCACCATAACAAGGTAAATTGAAATCTGCAAAGACAAAATTTAATTAATGATTAAAAATGTGTCTGAACACTTCTGACTGTCATCCCACTAATGACCTGCAGGTCATCACAGATCTGCATTCTGGACACAGAAGCTACTAGAAAATCACATGACCCATCACGTCACATGGTCTTCGTTATGTGATGTTTTATAGCATAAGTTACATGGTCAAAGAACAGAAAAAGGGATGGAAAATAATTTATATATGTGATTAAATTCATATCAAATATAAGAAATTATGAAGAATGGGATACATAAGAGTGCCACCTACCAATGCTGTCGCCATTGAGACAGAACCGCTGTGGCCATCTTGCTGACCAGCATAACTGTCTGTCCAAATGAGCAGACAACACCAAGTGTGCAGCAGAAATGGGGTGAACCTCTGACACTGGGGCAGAGAAAATGACTCCCCAGACCTTTCCTCTGGGGGACAAGATACAAGGTGTTGTCACCCAGCATCCCTGGGACTGTGCTGTGGAGCCCCACGCAGTGCTCACTGGGACACAGTGCTGCTCACAGGAGTGTGTGGATTTTATTTGTCAGTCAAGAAAGTTCAATTCCTAATTCACTAGAGGTTACACTGTAACTTGGTCAGGCAGAAGGAAAGCAGTGGGTGTTTGGATAGTTAATTCTGGCAGAAAATAGTCTAAGCTCATGGGACTATTTCCTTTAAAGGGAACTCTGAGTTGTCTAATTATCCAGTTAGCAGTCCCCCATGACATATGTGGAGACTGATAGAGATGATAATAAAAGGGGAGGGTGAAACAGTATCACCCAGTGAGTAAGAAAAACTCACTAAAGGAAAATGACAACTTAACAAAAAGAAAGGCTGGACTGTGTTGGTGCACACCTTTAATCCCAGTACTTGGGAGGCAGAGGCAGAGGGATCTCTGAGTTTGAGACCGGCCTGGTCTATGTAAGCCAAAGAGAAACCCAATCTCGAAAACAAAACAAAAAAACAAAAACAAACAAACAAACAAAAAGAAAGAACAAAGAATAGAAAAAACAGACCTTTTTTTTCAGGGTACCCCAAAGTGTTCACGTGACTATTTTAGGAAGACAGAGATAGAATTGGGGTGAGGAAGGGATGTAAACCTCACTCACAGGGATCTGGTACAATGCATTGTTTGGAAAAGTTCTAGAAACTGGGGAACCAGCCTGGGGTAGGGGCATCCATGTCTCCCATCAGGTAAAGGAGACTCCGGTCCCGGTGTGTAAGGCTGACACACTCAGACACTGGGTCTGGGCAGAGAACCCGATCTGGGAGAAGCCATGGCTGACCCAGGGCTGCAGACTGAAGGAGCCACTGCTGGGGATGTGGGCATCTTCTCTCCTCCCTCCTGAGACAGATCTGGAACCTTCCAGGGAGAAGGCTGAGCACTGGGTGATCAGTGCAGTCCCTGCCAGACTGGATCAGGAGCCCAGGGACACTGTGTCCCTCAGAGACAGGGGCAGGACCCCAACTGAGGTCTCTTATTCCTCAGGACTGAGCCCAGCCTGAGGGCAGGGGGAGGAGTTGCCCTGGGCGCCTGCACCTGTGCACAGCAGCTGCTCCTTCCCGTTCTCCAGGTGTCTGCTGAGGCCCTCCAAGCACGTGTCCTCCACGTAGGCTCTCAATCTCTCTGCAAAATCAGTCCTCTCAAACTTGCTCTGGGTGATCTTCGCCACCGTGTGCGCTGCAGTCCATGTCCTCAGGTCCTTGTTTAGGGCGATGAAATCTTTGCCATCATAGGCGTTTTGACTGTACCCGCGGAGGAGGCGCCCATCAGGCCCCATTTGACAGCCAGACATCCACTGGAAGGTGTGAGAGCCTGTGGGAGCCAGCGGTCAGTCCCGCCCACCTGCCCTGCAAAGGGGACTCCCGCCCACTCGCAGTCCTGCATCCCATGCATCCTCTAAACAGAAAGGGAAACTGGGTCCTGGTCCCCTTTCTCCTCCTCCCTGACCTCGGATAGGACCCGGGCGACTCTGGCCAATACTTAGGGACCAGAAGGTCGTGACCTCCGACCCGGGGTCACTCACCACCCTCGCTCTGGTTGTAGTAGCCAAGTAGGGTCCTCAGGTCAACTCGGAAACTCTGCTGGTTGTCCTTGGCTCTCAGTGTCTCCCTCTCCCAATAATCCGGCCCCTCCCGCTCCACCCACTGTGCCCGCGGCTCCATTCTTGGATCCTTGGCGTCGCTGTCAAAGCGCACGAACTCCCTGTCGTCCACATAGCCGACTTCCAAGTACCGGGGCTCCCCGAGGCCGGGCCGGGACACGATGGTGGAGAAATACCGCATGGAATGCGAGCCTGGGGGCGGCAAGGAGTGAGACCCCGACCTCCTCCCGGGACTCCGGGCAGGTGCGCGGCCGGGAGGGGAGCGGGGCGCGGGACTCGTGGCTCCGGACTCAGGAGGGGAAGGGGCGGGAGGGTCTGGCTGGGCGCTGCGGGGACGCGGCTTCCCCGGTCCCGCCCCCGCCCTCCCGGCAGACGCCGTTTCCCTCCCGACCCCGCACTCACCCGCGCGGGTCTGGGTCGGGGCCAGGGAGGCCACCAGCAGCAGAAGCAGCGCCTGCAGCGCCATCGCCCCCATCAAGGATCTGGGCGTCCGAGTTTCCTGCATGGACTTTATACCCCGTGCCCCAGGCGACGCTGATTGGTTCCCCGGGATCTCGACATCCAGTGGAGATGAGGATCCAGTCGTCATCAGTGTCCGGGCAGAAGGAGCTGACACAGGTCAGGAGCTGGAGAAATGAAACTGGGGACAGGGGAATCCCCAGCACTGGGCTTCTCCACCCGGACCTCACCGCCCGGGACCAAGACTTGTCTTTCTGGGGCTGGAGTACCACATTCAGGAAGCACTGCCATAAAGTTAAAAAAAAAAATCTTAAAAAATAAAAAGAGCCCTGGGGTGGTGGCGCACAGCTTCGATACCAGCTCTTGGGAGGCAGAGGCAGGTGGATTTCTGGGAGTTCCAGGCTAGTCTGGTCTTCAGACAAGGTTCCAGGACGACTAGGACTACACAGAGAAACCATGTCTTGAAACACTAACAAAACAAAACAAAAAACCTAACAAACTGACGAATGGTAAAACCTAACCAGAACGAGTGGAACTGTTAATATAGCATCTCTCGAGTGGAGATGCCTCATACCAGTTTTGATAGTTTTTCCCCATAATTTCATCATCTCTCTTTACACGTGCGTTAAAGCGGAATGCGGAGACTCACCCTAATCAACTAGGCACTTGGGAAGCTTGAGGGAGGAGGATCACCTTGGATTTGATACCAACCTTGAATTGCATAGAGAACCGGGCTAGCCTAGGCTACAGGTGAGATCCTTTCTCAGAACCCACTCACTTTCAAAACAAAAGAAAACGCGAGAGCTGGAGAGATGGCACAGTGGTTAAGAGCACCAGCTGTTTTCCCAGAGGACTGGGGTTTGAGTCTCAGCACCCACAAGCCGGTTCACTCCAGTTCTAGGGAATCCCGTTCTCTCTTCTGGCTTCCCAGGGTCACCAGACACGTATATGGAGACAAAACATCCATAACCGTAAAGTAGTAAAATAAAATTTACGAAGAAAGCAGAAGATAATTGTCAAAATAAAGAAACAATTTCAGTGTAGTAAAGGACAATTTATTAAACTCACCTGCAAGGGATTCTGCGGGGCCCCAAGACTGCGGCTTCCGCGAACTCAGCGCGCCCTCTAGTGTCCCCAAGGCTCCATCACACTATCGGTGGGAAACTCTGATTGTACTTAGGGCTTATAAGCCTGGATACATTTGAAGCCAATCACCAAAATTTCAGCGTCACTATTGCTCCTTCTGTTAGCCCTGTAATTTTCTCAAACCCCTCAAACTATGTCACTCCATCTGAGGGCGAGAGGAGTCCCTCTGGTTACATTGTAGCCCCGACAGGGACAATACAAGGCCAAGCAGAAGGTCACTAGCCAGAAACAGAGCCCTGTGCTGTGTGTAAAGTCCCTGTCTCTGGTTGATCTCTGACTCCACGCCTGCTCCCTCCCCGAGTGTCTGTCATTGTTGGTGAGCTCTCTAGGATGGACAGGGCGTGGCCTGCTTTGTGGTGTATTCTCCTGGCAGCCCTCTCCCAGTCTTCTGACTTGAGACACCAGCCAGTCAGGCTTGGGACAGGGGCTCTCACAGTGTGGCCCTCAGGACAAGCAGCAGATGTTAGCACTTCTTAGGAGTTCAGTATTCAGGGCCATGAGCTGCCTGAGACGCTGAGCTCTTACCTCGTACCCTGACGACCTGAACTCTACCCGTAGAATTGTTCTTTGACACAGTACCTTACTATGTAGCCCCGGCTGACCTGGAACTTGTTATGTAGACCAGGCTGGTCTCAAACTCACAGAGATCTACCTGACTCTGTGCACTGAGTGCTGACTTCTGGGGTTAAAGTCAGGCACCACAACACCAGGATCAGATTTCTTTAAAACATATTTATTTCTGTTCTATGGGTGTGATTGTTTTTTCTTTGCATGGATGTGCCCGTGGTTCCTGAAGAGAGCATCAGATCCCTTGGAGCTGGAGTTACAGGAGGCTGTGAGCCTCCATGTGCGTGCTGGGAGCTGAACCTGGTGCTGCAGGAGAGCAGTCAGCACACTTACTCATCCCTGACCACCTCTCCAGCAGCCTTGGAGAAAAGCAGTTTCTTCTTTAAAAATAATATATTGATTCTATGCTGTGGTAGTTTGAGTGTAATTGGTCCCCATAATCTCATAGGGAGTGGCACTATTAGGAGGTGTGACTCTGTTGGAGTGGGTATGGCCTTGTTGGGGGAAATGTATCACTGTGGTGGTGGGAGGGGGCTTTGAGGTTTCCTATGCTCAGGACACCACCCAGTGTTTCAATGGATTTCCTGTTGCCTGCAAGATAGGACTCTTGGCTGCCCCTTCAGGATCAAGTCCCTGCACGCTGCCATGATTACCATCATGATAACAATGGACTGAACCTCTGAACTGTAAGGGAGCCACCCCAATTAAATGTTTCCTTTATAACAGTGGCCATGGCCATGTTTCTTCACAGCAATAGAGACCCTAACATGTGTCTTTCTTTTTGTTTTGTTTTGTTTTAAAAGATTTATTTGTTTATTTATTATGTGTAACAATGTTCTGTCTGCATGTATCCCTGCAGGCCAGAAGAGGGCACCAGATCTCACTACAGATGGTTGTGAGCCACCATGTGGTTGCTAGGAATTGAACTCAGGACCTCCAGAAGAGCAGGCAGTGAAATGAAGTGCTCTTAACCACTGAGCCATCTCTCCATCCCCCACATGTGTCTTCCTTGTTTGTTTGTTTAGCTTTTGGTGGTCCAATGTGTTTAATTAGCGTTGCTCACAGGAGTGCAGTCTACTTACCAGTGTCTACTGCCACCACTGTCTGCCTAGTCATCCTCAGGGAGGGAGTGTTTCCCTCCTGCATGAGGCGTTGTGAGGGGTCAGTGTGCAGCAGGGTTCCAGACTGCAGTGGTCATGTCATACCCGGGAGCTCCTTTCACAGTTCTCTGCCCCTCCTGACAACCCGCCATGCTCCTGGGACGTGAGGGGCTTGGCATAGGTGTCCCTTTGGGTAGTGTGGCACGCGGGGGTTCCCTGCAGCCCATTCTAGCACTGAGAACACTCCACAGCATGGGGGATGCTCTAAGCCTAGTTATGGCTTAATTTCTCTATGTCCTGTAATTAAAGTATGTGGTGTCTCCAGCAACTGGTCTTGTAACCTGCTTCTTGTGGGCAACTGGGAGCACTGGTAATTCCCCGTGTTGTTGTTGGGGTCCATCTGCCAGGCAATTCACAGGGTCATGGCTCATACCTGGAACTGGGTGCCATTTTTTTTAATACCCATGGCTTTGGGGAATAGCCTTTTGAGAAAGCACTCATTTAGTTGTCCTAGATGGCTCAGAACTTGCCATGTAGACCAGGCTGGCCTCCAACTCACAGAGATCCCTCTGCCTCTGATTTCTGAGTGTGTATTTCTTCTTTTGAGGTATTTCTGTTCATCCACATGCCCCACTGTGTAATTGGGCTGTTTGCTTTCTTAGTGTCTAGTTTTTGAGTTCCTGTGTGTTCTGGGTGTTAGTCTCTGTCTGATGTGGCGTTGGCGAAGACGTTCTGTGACCTCTCTTCACTCTGTTCACTGTTCTCTTTGCTGCTCAGAGACTCTGAATTCCATGAAGTCCTGTTTGGTGATCGTTGTCTTATTTCCTGGCTGACTAGAGTCCCATTTGACAAAACGCTTTTCTCTGCCTCTGTCTTTCTTGTTTTTGTTTTGAGGTGAAGTCTCTCTATGTAGTTTGGCTGTCCTGAAACTTCAACAGGCTGACCGAGCTCACAGATATCCCCCTGCCTCTGCCCAAAGACATATGCCCCTGTGCCTGGCCACTGCTTTTAGCCCCTGCCTTTATTTTAAAGTGTTTCCTCTGCTTTTACTCCTAACATTCTCAGAGTTTTGTTTCTATTGTTTTTTTTTGTATGAGTGCTCAATTTGTATGTATGTCTGCACACTAGAAAATGGCATCGGATCCCATTATAGATGCTTGTGAGCTGTCATGTGGGAGCTGGGAATTGAACCCTGATCCTCTGGAAGAGCAGTCAGTGCTCTGAATGGCTGAGACATCTCTCCAGCTCCCTTTTTTCATTTTTCAAGACCAGGTATGTCTATAACCCAGGCTGTTCTGGAGATCCACCTGCCTCTGCCTTCCAAGTGTTGGGATTAAAGGCGTTCTTCTACATGAGACACCATTTTCTTAGTTGATTTGTTGATGATGTTTTCTTTTCTCAAATATACAGACTTGGCACTTTTGTCTAGAATAGTGTGTCTCTGGAGTGGAGAGATTGTTTAGAACAGTGGTTCTCAACCCTCCTAACGGGGAAGTCCTTTAATACAGTTCTTCATGTTGTGGTGACCTCCAACCAGAAAATCATTTTCATTGCTGCTTCATAACTGCAATTTTTGCTACTGTTATGAATTGTAATTTAAGTTTCTGATATGCAACCCCCTTGGGGATTATATCCCAAGGTTTGAGGACCACTGGTTTAGAAGTTGACAGTGTTTACAGCCCTTGTAGATGGACTAGGTTCCAATCCCAGCACATACGTGGAGGCTCATGATCATCTATAACTGTAACTCTGAGGTTCTGAGGCCTTCAGACCTCCTAGAGCACTAGACACCCATGTGGTCACATACATGCATACATACATACATACATACATACATACATACATGCAGAACACACTCATACACATAAAAGTTTTGTCTCTGTGCCATGCTGACTGTCTATCTGTGATGGACAACTTGAAATGACATATGTTTTTGCTGTTGTTGTTGTTGTTGTTTTATTTGTTTGCTGTGATTGTTTTTGGTTTTTCTAGACTGGGTTTATAAGTATAACAGCTCTGGCTGTCCTGGAACTTACTTTTTAGACTAGGTTGGCCTTGAACTCACAGAGATCAGCTTTTGTCTGTCTCTAGAATGCTGGGATTAAAGGTGTGTACAGCTACTTTCCAGCTTGTTGTTGCTGGGGTTTTTTGTTTATTAATATTTATTCATTTATTTATTTATATTTTATTTATGAATGTTCTGCATGCATGCCTGCAGGCCAGAGGAGAGCATCAGATCCTATAACAGATGACTGAGAGCCACCATGTGGGTGCTGGGAATTGAACTGAGGGCCTTTGGAAGAGCAGCCCCTGTTGTTGCTGTTTTGAGACAGGGTCTCACTGTGTAGTCCTGTCTGCCCTGAAACTCTATCTGCAGACC